TTCCAACCAAAAACGCACCCAGATTTATAAATATCACATGAATAAATAATTATTATTACAGGAATCAATATATTTTAAATGCAATTTAACCAAATGAACCAAATGTATTCAGCAGTAGCCTATATAATATACAGTATTGCATTACTATAGGATAGAATAAGGGGAAAGTAATAGCACAAATTGTTTTTGCACAATGAACTCACAGCCTATCGTACCCTTTTGCACGCTCAAGTTCGTTATTTCCATGGTTATTTCAAATTTAGGCTACTAGGCGCGCCGCGCGCAGGGTGCAAGTTCAACGCGGTAAACGCGCTCGTTTTTTTTTCCCAAGCGCGTCCGCACCGCATCAAGATAAAAACATATTCATACCCTAATCATAATAGTGTCACTAACGTTACATTAGATCTGGCTAATAATGGCACTGTTACAGTAGGTCATCTAAAAACATAACGGAACACTTACCTCAGCCGCAGGTGTCCTGTCTGTGCTATCGATGGGATGGCCGTATCCTTCAGCACATTATGGTCCGTGTGGCAAATTCCATTTTTTCAAAATAGTCGTCCTCATTGAAATGTACCGAGCAAACATAATGTCCCTTGATAATCTTAGGTGTGTTTGGATAAATATCCAGAGTAAGTTAGCCATTTCTTCATCCAGTCAGCGTTTTTAGTTGGAATTCTGTGAAACATGGTATTACCTCCCCTGTTTACTGTCGCAGCTATTTACAATAGAGCGAAAACCCATGACTCTAAACTACGCTTTTACTATTTATAAATTGCTGACTCTGTTACCCAAACACCGAGCGAACTCTCCGCTCCTCACCACGGCGTGTCTCCGGTGATGCGGTTATTACGCCGTCAAAGTAGCAGTGCTTCCCCTTCAGAGAATAGTTCCCAGGTTTTATACGGTTAAAAGATGTCTGTGTCTCATTTGACTTTGTTATTTGTACATTATGTGACTATACAAATCACAACATGTAAATAGGAAAACGTTTGCGTTATTTTGCCACTCATTTGGATCAGTATGAAAGCTGCAACCAGTCACATCGAGTCTTTGTGCTAAGCTAGGCTAGCGGTGGGTGCGTCAAACAGACTTATAGCACGCACGGAGATGAAAAAGGTATGTATGGACTTATCTAACTCTGGGGGGTAAGGTGAATAGGCTAAAGTCCCAAAAAGTCGGAGTGTTCCTTTAACCATGTAGCCTACTTATATTAAAATAGCAAACATTTTGAAATTGACAAAAACAGCCGACTCTAATGACTTTTCTTTTGCATTTTTAATACAATAAATCTTGCATGTCACAAAGAACTTGTTTTTCCACCTCCACGAATGAGACGAGTGTCGTTCATTATTATGTCCTTGTTGACAGGGCCGGCCCTGACCAATTTGCTGCCCTAGGCAAGATATATATATATATATATATACACAGTATATATATATATATATATATATATATATATATATATATATATATATAGCAAGAGCATTACATCTAGCTAGCAGTGTCATTACATCTAGCTAGTGATGTCATGTTCCAAATGTCATTCATGCACAAACTATTCATTGAGCACTAACAAAAGTGTTTGTTTGGGAGTTGATGGCAGTAATCTTCCACTAAATTATGGCACGTTTCATGTTTTCAACATGAATGAAACTGCTAAATGTCTTTAATGTGAATTTTACATGAAACATTGGTAGCTACTTTTAATAAACCTGTAGCCTATAAATATCGTTATTAATTAAATATCGCAAATAAATAAAAAATGCCATATATCCCAACTGTATAGTAAAACATTAAATAATAAAAGTGATAGTATGTGTCTAAAAAAGACTGACATGTTTGTAACAAATCGCATTGTCTGGGGGCTCAGGAACTCAGAACTACTACCGTTAGCATAAAGTTATAAGGTAAAAATAACTGCCATTAAATTATAGCATCTTAATACTATGCAATTGACCCTTCGCTAAGCCCCGCCCTCCCTAGTTACTGTTGCTACGCCTGTCAAGCTTTCGCGGCTGGCCCATCTATTATAGTGTGGATGCACCCGGTATCAGACATTTCAATGAGATAATTAGTAATTTTCAGCGAACAAGTGAAATATCTGAGAGAGCAAGACAAAAGGGACTACAGTATGCATTCGAGGGATATATTCACGACATTACATGCAACCGATTAGAGAATAATTTCTTAAAAATTGAAGTTAAAGCCTAACGTTATAGTCCCAGCGCAAGCAGCAGCGCCTCATACGCTGACTGTTCACATGGGAAACACAAATTGAGGAACAGCTATGTTCATACACAGCAGGGTATGTGAAAATAATCTTAATAATTATAAATCAAACAGCTTATCAATAAATCTTGTGGAATAACACTAATACCGGGAGAGCCGCGATCGGATTGGGTTAAGTTAAGGGGTAACGTTAGTAGGACTTCGATTAAAAAAATGCTGAAATATATTTAAAGTATGTCAGTGAGCCTTTCTCTTGTCTCTTTAATCATCTTATTTTACATTATCATTATGACCAAAGAACCATCAATATTTCCAAGCAATAGGGGTTTCATCAACTAGTCGACTAGTCGACTGTCACAACCACTAGTTGGCGCTGTTGGCCTTAGTCGACTAGTCGGAAACAAAATGATGACATATATATAGATATATTTTTTTTGTTAACTATCCCTTTAAATACAAGCGGCAGTATACTATAAGCACTATAAGGCGCACCTTCAATTACCTATTTTAGAACATTTTTCAAACGTTTGACTGGGTTTGCATTATGCATCCACTAGATGTGCTAAAGGGAATGCAGCGAGTGCGCGGCGTCGGAGGTGAGGCGTTTATTTAAGCGTGAGCGCGCGGGGCGGGCACGTAACTTACATTCGCAGCCTGCTGACAGCAGTGTCTGTTCGTGTGTGTGTTAGAGAGAGCGCTCGTGAGCGGGAGATATTTTATACGAGGTTGAACTGGCCGTGTGACAAAGCGGGCATAAGATGGACACGAGCGCGAGCAATTGATCCATATATAATGTGCTCCGGATTATAAAGTTTGAGAAAAGGCCGGATTGAGAAAATTAAAGGCTTTTAAGTGCGCTTTATAGTGCGGAAAATACGAGTACTACTCTCGCTTTTAGACCAGCACGCGACGTGTTTAATATAGACGCATATTAGCACCAGATTTTCTCTCAAATGTTTGCTTTCACTTTCTATATGGGGAGGCTGCACTTTAGACATAACCAATTCTGTTTATGTAAAAATTGTGTGTATTTAACAGTATTAGCATAATAAGACTTGAAAGATAACTTAGTCCAGTATTCAGGTGCTGTTTGACAGGCTTCTAATGCCTGTGAGCGTCGGGGATATGCCGCGCGCTCAGGAAAGCGCACGTTAGAACAGCGCGTGAATTAAATGTTTAACCGGCAAGGCTTATGCAAACAATGAACTTTTGTGAATTGCAGTGTCCCGTACCTATTCCTTAACGTGTGATGTGTAGGCTACGTCGCGTTGTACAGTTGAGAGATGCCAGAACTGATAGAATGCACTGTAACACGATACTACTACTACCACATTTCTTCAAAAGCAGATCGTGGAGACATTTACTATTCGTGTTGTCGCACACCCCTAGAATAAATTATTTAACGACTAGTCGACTAGTCGTCGACTGTTATGCAAAACTAGTCGACTAGCAAAAATCAGTAGTTGTGAAACCCCTACCAAGCAATAGGTGTTTTTGTTAAGCATGTCGACATTTACCAGTAGTTGTGAATGGGTCTCGCACATAGACGCTAGATCACGCCAATCATTTCTCCCCTTGGCTTTTAAATTTTCTGGAAGGAAAACAATTCCTCTCCCCCGTCCAAACTTTTAGTATACCGGTATCAGATTTGCACAATCCATACGCACAATGCTTTAGCATGTTTCCCTCGTTCGAAAGCTTGACAGACCTCCCGCGCATAGTTATGGTTGCTAAGACATGATTGGCCAGTGACGGTTTTTGGGCGTGGCTTAGCGAAGGGTCAATTAGATAAACGGTTCATTAATTACATCACTTTACCTCCGTCTTTATCCCCTTGTATCTTCTTCTTTTTGGCACTGTATCTATTGCAGCAGACTATAATGTTAATTTAAATGTGTCATGAAAATTCGGCCATCCTTCACAATGAGGAAACTTTCACCATGTCTAGATGGCTGCCAGGCCCGTTTCTAAGGGAGTGCTTGAGTGTAAGCGCCCTCAAACGAAAGCAATGCTGTCTACATTGGATGCGGCGAGGGGCGACACTAAACAACAAATTACCAACAGTAAACTGATCGCGCACGCTCTGTTTCTGGCGCACTTCAAGCACTCGCTGAATCTTAGAACAGCTCGTTCTGAGACAGTGCATATGATTTATTGAGATTGTAAAAAAAAAACACTCGGTGGATTTTTATCATTCTAGGGTGGTTTTGCTCATACACTGCCAACACACATTTATGTTCAAACACCATGTAAAAGTGAATTTTCCATAATAGGTGCCCTTTAAGGGGATACACACTAAAACAGCACGTTTTTCTCTGCCCCAAAAAAGTGAGAATTTAAACATGCTGTAAAAATTATCTGTTGGGTATTTTCTTCTATGACACTGTTTTCTTCTAGATCTGCTGTAAAGCCGAAACAAACTTTATTGAAGATTTTTTTCTGTTATCACTGTAAAGCTGCTTTGAAATAATCTGTATTGTAAAAAGCACTATATATATATAAAAAGGTGACTTGATTGTTCTTATAAAGAGTTGGATCCCACTCCACAAGAGTACTGTGTCTGATGAAGACCTGACATATTCGAAACGTTGCACTATTTGGTAAATAATTTTCTGGGGGCCGCATTTCAGTGTGCGGACATTATTTATTCTTTGTTAGTTTATTGTTATCTTCTTGTCCTGCACAAGAGCCCAATTTGGGTTTTGCATATGCACACTTTTTTTGTTCTTGCTAAACTACCATGACACAAATTCCTTTTAAACTCGTACCTGCTGTGTGGATGCAGCCCCTGCACTTGTTGCCATAACAATATACTTGGTTGCTGGAGGTGATGGCTGAGTGGGCGTTCCAGGGCGAGCGGACATGAGGGTGAGCGAACTGGGTACTTTAATGATGCTGGGTGTGCGTGAACCTGACGTTGACAATCCACTCTGAGACATTGACAGAGTTGGCCGTGGCTGCAGAGGGACAAAGTGAGCATTCAGGTTTGATTTGAATAAGTTTAACAAGGTATTTTTATAAGAGAACTACTGGTTATGATTTAAACCAGCTCAACAAAAGTTTTATTTCAGATTTACTCACCTGTGTGATAGTAAGTGTGGTTCTGTTAACAGTTTGGGCCTGGAAGGAAGCCTGTGCACGGGCCTTGATCACATGTGAACAGAGCATGGTGCCCAGATAGCCAAAATCTGCCTTGTATTGATCCACCAAATCTGGTAGTGGCCTAGTTTTAGCAACCACACTTGCACAATGTTTCTAAACAGAACGAGAGAAAGTAGTACTTTTTTTAACCAGATAAGAACAAAAAGAAGAAAATCCAATTCAATATGACACAACGTCAATAAAAATAAGTATGAATGTGTCCCAGCACATCAAGTCCAATCAATGTAAACTTGGTCTAGGATTTAGTGGGTAGGGGATGATGTGTAGAGACCAATCAACAACGCTTGGATTGGATTGATTGCTTAGATTGACAGGTCTAATATTTACCATGCACCATAGAATATGAGCACACAATATTGAGGTAGACAGACAGCACTGGAATATCATCTGTCATCCAACAAGATTTTATAACTTGTTATTTATTCTACATAATTATAAGTATTGTTCTGGTTTGTTGAGTTTACACTCAACTTCTGATAAAAAGACGACCATGGCTCCAAAATGCCATAACTTTTGATTGGTTTAGTTTAAAGTTTATTTCTCAGTTACAATTGACATTATTGTGAATGGCAAAAATGTGTTTGTCATTTATGACCTTACATACATACTGTACATACTTTCTAATAGGGGTGTAACGGTACATGTATTCGTATTGAATCGTTTCGGTTCGAGGCTTCCGGTTCGGTACGCATACAAACCGGTACGATCCAAGGATTCGGTACGATTCCTTGGACCATTTTTCCTGCCGACAAAATTTGCGCTGGCACGGCCACCACAACGTTGCGCAACATCAAATGGCAAGCGTATATGTGCTTCACGGATATGTGTATATGTGCTCAATATGTGCTTCACGGATCGTTTATCAGTCCGGACCAGCAACATCTGTGCAGCACGAGCTGATCTCGGTTAAGCGACACTGTACACAGCGCTAAGAGATCCAGAAAAGTAGTAATAACATCACTGCGAGATCTAGTGAGAAGCATTCACATTTCTCCATTATTAAAAGTAGGTCTCTATTAGATCAAACAGCACTGACGTGGAAACCAGGAGAAACATTGTGCCGTGAATGAACTAGTAATACTTTACGTCCACAGACCAGCAACATTAACCATGGATTTAATGTAGTAACACTAACTGTAACCAGTTTGGCTGGAATAGTGAAATGCTTTCAACTACTTCTTCACACATATTTTTCCAGCACTTCAAAACTCAAATAGTATATAAATAAATATATATTTAAATGTTATTTTTAATGTGATGACCAAAACATTATTTGTTCATCCTTCAAAGATGACTCCCATTTATAAACCTGAAAGTTTCAAGATGTAGAAAAACTTATTCAAAATGTAAAAATATTTTTTCTTTTAACAAATAGGAAATTTCTCTGGCATTTCTTTCTTTCTGCTGTATCGAAAACATACCGAACCATGACTTTAAAACCGAGGTACGTTCCGACTCGTGATTTTTGTGTACCGTTACACCCCTACTTTCTAATAGTCACAATTTCAAGCATGAACAATAAAAATATGAAATCATTAAAAATACCTACAGGATGTAAGGGGTTAAAAAGTACCTTTATTTGCATAAAAAACAACAATAATATGAACAAACTTGGTAGCACCAGAACTAGAACCAAAGCTCATCATAATGACTGACCGTGTTGTTGTAAGGTACTTACAAGTAACAGACTCTGGACATGATCGGCTCCAATCTTATCAATGTTAGATACCACTGGCCCATCCATCACAGCTTTAATACGAGCACCCTCTACAGACAGGCGAGGGATGATCAATGTCTTTATCACCTACATGAAAAGTAAAACACTTAAGTTTACTCTCAGTGAATGATCAGGGATATGCAGGTATCAGCACTTCAATTTAATACTTTTTAAGACCTTACCAAAACATTTTAAGACCTGCACATCCCTTTGACTTGTATGCAACACAAAAAATCACCCTGGCTTTAAATGAATTATAGCAGAGTAAAGGTCTATACAGAAACCACAGTAAAAATAATTTTAACATTACCATTTGCTCCACTGGTGAAAGAAAAAAAACTCACTATTGCCTTTCTGTGACTTTCCGATAGATGGAAAAAAAAATATAGAGAGAGAGACAGATCGTGGCCGTCAGAGAGAAAGATATTAAATGCATGATACATCACTCCTTCAGTATTAGAAACGCAGCTTATTTTTTTCCTCTCAGCAGTACTTCTTTCTGTTTCTAAGTTCCAGGGTACTATAACACAATGTATAGTGTGTATAGAGTTATAAATGAACATTCACATTGTTTTTGCTTTTTTTTTTAACATTAATACTGCACTGAAACTATATAATAAAATATGATGATATTAATAATAATAATACATTATTATTTGGAGACACAAATAGTAAAAAACAAGAGTAAAATATTTTTGTTTTAGAGTAAAATATTTTTGTCTTAATTCGCTTTTATGCATTTAGCCTATTTAAGAAATAGTTATCCAGAGGATAACTGGCCCCCGACTGAGCCTGGCTTCTCCCAAGATTTTTTTCTCCATTCTGTCACCTGATGGAGTTTTGGTTTCTTGCCACTGTCGCCTTTTTCGCCATTGACTTTTGGCTTGCTTAGTTGGGGACATTTGATTTTATAATTAACAAAATTATTCCAACATTATTTTCCTGTTATCTCTGTAAAGCTGCTTCGAAACAATCTGTATTGTAAAAAGCACTATGTAAATAAAGGTGACTTAACTGACTTATAAAAAACTTCATACTTCAAACTTTCACTGTATGAACTTAATATGCTACAAAAGCTATTGGATCAAAGGCAGTGAATGATTCTCTCTTTGTCTTTTGTTGTTTGATTACAATGACAGAGCAGCAGACCTGTGTATAAGGCTGCTGTCACTTTAAGACCACTGTCACTGCACGGATCCAATATAATGATTGACATGCATCCAATTTTCTCCCTATTTTTTACGTTCACTTAAGACATGGCCGACTGTGTTCACGTAAATAATCGTCAAGTCGGGAATTTTGACACAGTGTGTGTATTTGAACAGTAAAGCGCATGAGAACTGTATTGGGTGCTCGAGTGCTGACAGAAGGCTTTCGGAGCACACGCTTCAAGTATGTGCCCACGGAGGGCTGCCCGTCAGCATGTGAGTGCTGAATTCAGATCTCTTGCACTGTTAATTGCAATTTTACTAACTTATCAAGCACGTTTTTCCTTTTATTTTCTCTTTCACCCATGTTTTTTTATTCATCAAACGGATCAGTTACTTGTCACCAGGGCCTGAAATTAACACCCGACCACCTGCCAAATGCGGGTGAATTTTGCTATTGGTGGGTAACACTGTCAATCTACCTGCCACATTGGCAGGTAGCCAATGAGATTTGAGTGATTCATTAGGATTTTTACTTTTCAACTAAGTCCGCCATTGCGTTTGACTTTAGCTAAAATGTGGCGGCACATTACTGGGGTAAAGAGGCCAGCTGAAACAAATGACCAACAAAAAGACGAGGATGAGAAAAAGAAGACATTTTAATACAAAGTGGACAATTGGCGGCAATGGCAAGGTTCGTGAGCGGCTGATTTATGACAGCGACTGTTGTTTCGTAACGTTCATGCGATCAGAAAGAAGATGAGGCTCTTTTTCTGACTACGTGTGCGAGTATTAAACTGTTGGTGAGATGGGATGAGATAATGTAACGCGTCGCTGTTGTAGGTTAAAGTACAATGACAGTTGCACAGATGTGTGTGCGTGTGCAACTGTGCATGTTGGGAGTTGGGTACCGGTGAGAAAATGTCCGGTACCCGGTAATTTTATCAGTAATAACAGTATTAATTTAGTTCATATTTAACCGTTCTTGAACGCTGTAACTAAAAGCTGTTAAGAGTAAGACCTGTCTACGTGAATAAATCCGCCATCAACACAGCCGCGTGTGATTTGTATACGAGCTGCGGTGGGTCTATCTGTTGAGTATATACTATATTATAGCCTATACTATATATGTTGTGTGTCTGTCAAAATCAATGAATAAAAAGATTTTTTTTTAATGTATGTTATTAGAGTTATTATTACTTGACAGCACTTAAATGTGTATTCTTACAAGTTAAAGAACAATATTGTGAAATTCCCGGGTTTTTTTTTTTTACGTTTATGAGGCAAAAAAAAAAAAAGGCTGGTAAAAAGTCTCTGTGGCAGGTGAATTTTTAAATCCACCTGCCACAGTGGCCGGTGGCCGAAAAAATTAACTTCAGGCCCTGCTTGTCACTGAGCAACATTGACACGTTTGTAAGATTTAAGAAAGCAACAAGTAAAAATAAAATGTTAATCTTCACTGCAGTGACTGTTCGATTATGTCACGATATATGTCAAATCTTTATTTCTTTCAAGTTTAAAGGCAGATTTTTGCTCCGAAGTGAAAGTTGTATTAACCAGAGCGTAAATTGTGGTTTTAAACTACTCTTTATTGTCAGAACATATCATGACAAACACTTGCCAAACAGGTGAACATTTCACAAATATGAGGTAGAACATTCAAACATTTTTCCTTAAAATAAATATCTCAATAGAAAAAAAAAATATTTCTTCAGCACAGTTTGCAGTGCAGGCTGCAATATTAAAATTACATGTTTTATCTCAAAATGCATATTTGACAGTGAGTTGACAGTAAATCTGCATCCTAACTCAAGCTAATACTAAGCTAATGTTAAATTTATGTTGGCAATCACGAATATGACACCGGCTCAAAAACGCATCAGCACTCCGGATGACCTGCAAAGAGCTAATGAACTGAATGACTTTTATCTGAGATTTGAAACCCGGGATTTTTCTTTTAAAGGGAAGAATATTTTAGAGACAATTACTGCCACAGAGCAGGATGTAAGGCTGGTGGTAGAACCCAAAGTGGTAAGATTGCATTTTAAAAACGTATGTACTAAGAAGGCAACGGGACCAGATGGAATATCCGCATTTTTGTTAAAGACATGTGCAGATGAACTGACACCTGCATGGTCTCCAATCTTTGAAAAATCAGTAGACTCACATGTCATACCCACCTTGTGGAAGAAATCAGTAATTACACCGGTAAACCATGCCCTAAAAAAACATGCCCAAAGGTAAATAATGATTTTAGGCTGGTGGCACCAACCTCCATTGTTATGAAATGTTTTGAAAAGATAATGGTGTAATTTCTTAAACAAGATGTTGGTGTGTTTTTAGATCCATTTCAGTTTGCTTACAGGCAGGGACGTGGCACTGACGACGCTATTAGTAGCATTTCACATCTGGTCAGAAAACATCTTGAAGATCCCAGAGCCTATGCACATATTTTATTTGTTGATTTTAGCTCGGCTTTTAACACTATACAACCTCACATGCTCATTCAGAAACTGAAACACATGAATGTTAATTAATTTTATTCTTAAGTGGTACTTTTCATTTCTAACAAATAGGTTAAAGGGTTAGTTCACCCAAAAATGAAAATTAAGTCATTAATTACTCACCCCCATGCTGTACCAACCCCGTAAGACCTTCGTTCGTCTTCGTAACACAAATTAAGATATTTTTGATTAAATTTGAGAGCTGTATAACTACCACATTGGCTCCTAAGGGACTGCCTCTTGACGGCCCAGAAAGTCAATGAAGAAAATGTTTAAATATCCCAAGTGACTACCGTGGCTCAACTATATGTTTATCAAGCGACGAGAATACTTTTTGTGCGAAAAAACAAACAAAAATAACGAGTTTATTCGACTATTCCTTTTCTTCCTTGTAGGCCAGAAACGAGACTTCCTTAGATTTCCACGACGCATGCGCGAGAACTGAACTGAAGTAGCTCTGAAGTAGTGTAAGGAGATCGCAATTCTCGCGCATGCGTCGTGGAAATCTAAGGAAGTCTCATTTCTGGCCTACAAGGAAGAAAAGAAATAGTCGAATAAACTCGTTATTAGGGCCCAAGCCCTGAAAGGGCGAAGGCCCTATTGTTTTCCTTCCGATTATTTTTTTTTTTTTCTTTTATTTTTCTAACGACTATTCGGGCACTTTTGGGGCCCTTAACATGCTCGAAAACTCTTGAAACTTTGCACACGGGTCAGAACCCGCGGCCATCAGAGCCGGGCTGAAGCTGGTACCTGGGCGTGGCAGGGGGGCTCGTCAGCGCCCCCTGGAACGGGGTCCGAACACTTGGTCCATAACTCAAACACGCTTGTATGTAATAATATGAAACTCGGTACACATGTTGCTCTCATCGTTTCATCTATACCTCACACTCTTACTTTTTACCCCAGCCCAACAGGAAGTCGGCTATTGAGGTTTGTTTGTAAAACGCTCGCAATGGAATGTTAAATACTCCTCCTAGAGCTTTGATCCAAGTTCGACGAAACTCAGTCAGCGTGAAGTCAGCGTGAAGACATTGAGGATGAAAGTTTGCGAGGGGATTTTTGATATCTCGAACGGTTTGTCCGTGGCGAGGAAACGAAACTATGGCGAGAAACGTGAAACAGGAAGTGTGTTATAACTTCAGCATACATTAACTGATCTTGATGAAACTTCAGCAGTGTGTTCGCTGTAAGAGGACGATCACATGGATGTGACTATTGTGAGTCAAAGTTATAGCGCCACCAACTGGCAGCAGGAAGTGTGTCACTTTCAAAATGCTTTGATATCACCCTTTTATTTTTACCCGATTTGCTTCAAACTTCATCTGTATAATGTAAACATACGGCAGATGTAGACCTGTGAATGGATTCTTGATATCTTTGAAACTGTTGCCGTGGTGACGCATCAAACTTTACCATTCTTTTAGGATGCTTTTGA